GAAGAAGGCAGAACACTCGCTACACCTGTATTTTTTGCAGAACCAACACTAGCACGCTGAACGACAAGTTTACGATCACCCAATTCCATATTATTTAAACCTTGACAAGCTAAATCAGTTACACTTGGATCAACGTATTCACAAAAAGCAAACCCCTAATAAAAGACAAATTCAAGAATTTTAAATTTATTTATAAAAAATTAAAAGGGTTACATAAATAGTTAATTACCTTGGATACACCTGTTAAACTATCTTTGACTAAATTAAAAGCTCTGAGTTCACCAAAAGATTTCAAAAGTTCCATAACTTGTTCATCATTCAAATATGTAGGCAGACCACCAATGAATATTTTATTAGGACTATCAGGTACATTAGTTGAAACGACGCCAGGAACATGAATTGGAGGTGGTTCGAGATTTTGTCCAGGTGGTGGTTGATAATCTTTTGGACGTCTAATCTTTAAAGACTGACCTTGAAATGTAATTCCATCAAAAGCCATTGCTGCGGTGGCCTCTTCGGGAGCACGAAACTATAATAAAATCATTAAATACATATGTGTATAAACATAAATATTATTTATAGTATTTAATATGTAAAATCTAAGCAAATCTTACTTCTACAAATGCATAATTTTTGTCATGGTTAATTTGAACAGCTATAACTGGTTGACCTGGTGCAGTAGTGATATTCAATTGTACCATTGTTGAATTAAAGAATTCTGAAAGGCCATTCTAATGCAGGTACAAATAAAGAGTTAAAAATAAAACGACAATGATACAAATGATGGGATAAAGATATATATATATATATATATATTTATATTATAAAGCCATAATATAAATACAAACCTCATCAATACCGTAAGGAATATTTCCAACATAAAGACGCCTAGCTTGCCTTGCAAGAGATGCAGTCTGTGCGACAGGACCAGCAGCACCTTGACTTACTTTCGGTCGAGGGGGGAGTTCATGAGTCATTCCCATCATCATAGCAGCAGCTCTGGAAGGATCCATGCCAGGTATAATTGGGGAAGTAGGAATAGTGGTAGGTCTAGTGGTAGCAGGTTGACCAGGAAGTGGAAAGTGACCTTTTGGATAAAACGACAAGTTAACACAATAAGAGGCAATGAAAATTAATAATGTATAATAATAACAATAATAAAAATAAACTAACCAGTAGCTTTAACTTGTTCAGCAGTCATGCCTTCATAACCTGGAGGCGGTAAATCCCAATTATTTAACTTTCTTCTTCTCCTATTAATAGGAGTTATTGAACGAGAACGAGAATGATGTCTAGGACTACGACTACGCCGCCTAGCATTCGGACTAGGACTACGACTTCGTTTCCTTGTACGACGTGATTTACGATCTCTTTCATCTTTTTCTTCACGCTCTCTATCACGACGATTTCTATCACGGCTACGTTCTCTCTCCCTTCGTCTTTCACGTTCACGGTCTTTATCACGATCAGCACGATCACGATCAGATCGATCACGGTCCCTATCTCTATCCTTATCTTTATCACTTCTATCTCTATCGCGTTTTTTATCTCGGCGATCATCATCTTCTTTTACAGATCGATGTCGTTCATTTCTATCACGCGACCGATCACGATGAGAAGTATGTTCGTCGTGTGAGCGAAAAGCTATAAAGCGATAGCATGACAAATGTCATACATAGCAATAAAAAGAAGAAATAATTTTTATGATTTGAGTTTCATTAGTATGACCTAAAAAGAGAGTGAGAAGGTCCAAATGGATCGAATCTGCCCGGAAGCTTTCATGCAAACATATGCAATAGGATCGAAGTTAAGCTGCGCTGCTTAAAATAAAAAAAAAAAAAAAAAACAAACAAGGGGATAAAAGAAAAAAAGAGAAAGAAAAAAAAAACATTTCGTATTCTCAGATAAATTAGAAAATAACGAAAAAAGATCAATTTTGCCAAAAAAAAATCTTTGATTTTCTCTTGTTGGAACTATCAAAGGAAAGAGAACCCACTAAACGTGATAATTGAACACAATAAAATAAAAAAAAAAAAGGAAAAAAGAGCGATTACAACATAACATTAGTTACTATTTTCCCAAAATTGTTCAGATAAAAAGTATAAATAAAGGGATCTATAGAGATATATCTACAATTAATGTTTGTGTATAAATAAAATCTGGTTCTTTTCTTCCCTCCTTTTCAGCAAATTTAATCAACAAATAAAGAAATAAAAAAAAAAAAATAGAAGAAAATTCAACTTTGTTAAAAAGCACATACCCTTATCAGGAGTTGTTTCATGTTCTTGTTTAATATAAGGGGATTCCATCTTTTCGTGTTCTTGTTTGATATAAGTGGATTCCATCTTTGACAAAAAATTGTTAGCTAATTCTGAAGCTAACGCTGAAGTTTCTAAAAATAAAATAAAATCAGTAATCAAGTTAATCTTTTAGTTTTCAAAGTTAAATTTAATAAACCTTGAGGAAAATCTTGTGGTTCTTGTTTAATATGATATGAAGACGAAGAATAATCGCCATCTTTTCTCCAATATTCAGTACTCATGATATTTAGAAATGAATTCAAAATGAAATTCGAAAATGCGAAAATAATTCTGAGGGATTATCATGTGATATAACTTTATGGAGCAGAATTTCCGATTATTGGTGTAACATTTTTAAGTAAAATGCTTGATTTTGATTGGCTCTTTTATTGTATTTTTTTTACGTAGCAAGTCAAAAATAATAAAAAAAAAAACAAACAAAATAAAGTGTACGTAAAAGTTTAACAAATAATAAGAAATCAGGATTCAAGAAATTGACTTAGAAACTTGTAACATTAAATTATTTTCTCGTAATTCAGGATGTATATAAAAGTGACGTTTTGCATTTGTTTTTTTTCCAGACATCGTTACACCATAAACATTATTTTCGAATTGCTTCTTAATTTTCCAATTCGTAAAAACTCTAGTAGATGGTTCAAGTGATTTAACTTGAAGAGTTGTAAAATGAGGTCTTCCAAATAAGTTGAGTGTTTCAAAAGTTATAAAAGAATCAGGTGTAATTTTATTTGAATTATTCGGATTACTCGGATTATTCGGATTATTCGGGTTATTCAGGTTATTCGTTGGAGATAAATGATGATAAATTTTTGCAACATAAGGAGAAACGCACCAATGAATTAGACCTGTAGATGCGGCACTTGTTGATATTACTACATAAGTTTTCGTCAGTTATTATATTAAAATTTTTAACGTATTTTACATTTCAAACATTTTAAACGTTTCATAAATTACTGTTACTCACAAAATAATACCATAATCGCTCGAGCACTTGTAATCATAGCAGTGTCCACCACAAAAAATAGAGGTGTACTAGCAAAGGTAATGGCCAAAGTAATTATGGAAAAAGTTTTCAATTTTTTTGCTGTTTGAGCTAATGGTCCATTATAGATGATATTTGAACTATCATATTTCAACGTCGTGAATGTTTGATATAAATGTTTCTGATCATTTTTTATTGGAATTATTGGGTAAATTTGAAAGGGTAAAGTTTTTACATATTTAAATTGTTGAAATCTTTTAGAATAAATTGAAGTTAATAATAGTCTGAACATCTTTTGATTTTGTAGATTATTAGATATGTACTACAATTATTTTATTTGCATACCGATACATTTTTTTTTTTCTGAAAATTATGAAAATTCATTGGCCAATTTTTTTTTTATCATGCAGTCAGGGGACTTGATTGCTGCAACCACCTGAATCTTGCTTACATTTATCTACAATCAGGTGAATTTTGATATCAACCGCATCAAATTAGCTTTATTCGCTCAAGATAAATCTTATTAAAATCTATTTCTGAATGACTTTTCTTTATTTCTCTCTTATAAATCTATAAAGATTAAACTTAGCAATTGGCTGTCTTTTGAAATTAAATAACGTATCTATGTGCTGGTTTATTTTTTTTTTATATTTTTAGTAAATTTTCATTTATTTTTTTTTA